GAAGTCATCATTTCAGGGTATACAACTAAAACGTGTGTACAAGAGGTAGTTACAGACGTCATCATTTCAGGGTATACAACTAAAACGTGTCAAGTCATAGTTACGGACGTCATCATTTCAGGGTATACAACTAAAACGTGTGTACAAGCCATAGTTACGGACGTCATCATTTCAGGTGTATACAACTAAAACGTGTGTACAAGCCGTAGTTACGAATATACGTCATCATTTCAGGGTCTAGGCAATGTCAATAGCCATTTGTACAGAGTGTACATAGCAGAGCTGACAAAACTCCAATTCACATCGAATTGAAGCAAAATTTCAGTGTATAAAAATCAACATTATGAAAAATCAGAAATATTTTTGGGATATATATGGAAACTAAGAAAAAATAAACAACAGGTGAAAAATGCATTAAAAATTAAACTGTGATTCAGACCCCTGTTTCAACCCTGTTGCTACTTTAAGTGGTTTCTAATTTGTACATTTTTTATTAAAATTATTCTTCTTAAAAGAATACTGACAAGCGAGAAAACAAACATGGTATAAAGTGATGGAAGTAGACATAAATACTTAAAAACACGCATCCTATGTCATCCTATTTATGCAAATTATATGAAAATTTATTCTTTCCGAGACCACTTAATATAAGGAATACATTTTGAAATATTCTACAATAATCCTCATAATCTGTAAATTCTGATCCGTCAATGAAAATAGTGAATATTAAATACAAGTTGACTTGTCAAATGTAAACATTTACAGATATGTCTGTTCTATTTCACTGGCAGTTTCATCTTTATGACCAACAATCTGTTAATTGTCAGCTTGGTCTTCTTTATCACTCTCCTCACCTTCTCCTTCACCTCTTTGTAATCCTTCTGGAGGGTTGGCATTGTTGGCTTTATCTTCTTCTGCAACATTATTTACATCATCCTCAGTAGAAGTTTTCTTTTCTGTTTCTTGTGGTTGATCTGTGGTTTCTTCATGTTGTGGTTTATCTTGGAATGTTTCCTCTGATGTTGCCTCAGTATTTTGCTCAACCTCAGATGTTGTCTTACGCTCTGGTTGTTCTTCTGATGTTGTCTCAGTATTTTGCTCAACCTCAGATGTTGTCTTATGCTCTGGTTGTTCCTCTGACGTCGCCTCAGTATGTTGCTCAACCTCAGAGGTTGTCTTATGCTCTGGTTGTTCCTCTGACGTCGCCTCAGTATGTTGCTCAACCTCAGGCGTTGTCTTATTCTCTGGTTGTTTCTCTGGCGTTGCATCTTCTTGTGTTTCAACTTCTTTCGCAGCTTCTTCATCTTTCACTTCAGACACTACAAGTTCTGGAACTACTCTCTTTGCATCTTCACTTGAAGCAACATTCGTATTCATCTCAACAACCTCTTCAGTCTTCTTTTTATCTCCCTGAGCAGGTCCTTCCGGGACTTTTTCTTCGAGAACTTCTTTTCTGGCCTCCACATTTTGCACTGCTACAGTCTGAACTGATGATGCAGGAATTTCTTTCTGAACTTCTGTTGACGTTCCCTGTTCATATTTAGTTCCAGCAGCACTAGTCCTAACTTGTCTTCTGGGATTCTCTGGCTGATGCTCAGTCACAGAACCGTGTGGAGCTTGGGAACTGCTTGGCTGTTCCTCTCCAGCTGTCTGTGGTCGTTCAGCCGCTATTCCTTGGTCTGCAGGAGGTTGTCCAGCTGCAGCAACTCTTCCTTCAGCTTCTCTTTTCTGTTCTGCCTTATACATGGCTCGTAACTCATGTGGATCAGTCTGCACTCCAGCATCCAAGACCTCCCAGTGTTCCTTTCCTGTAGGCCCATACAAACCTTCTTGGATAAACTTCAAACACTCCTCTGACATCCTCTTGGCTTCTTTGCTGACGATGCTGAAGTTGAGAAAGCCGTGTGACAAATTCTCAACCACTTTCACCTTAACAGGAACACCTATTCTCTTCAGCATTTTTGCAAATGTGATTGAGTCATCAAGAATTGGATCTAACTGACATGCCTTAAAAAAAAAAAGAAAAAAAAAAGAACGCATTAGATTAGAACTATGATTGTAATCACATATAAAATCATGCATAATGAAAATGATGATAACTCATTGTGTACTTACAACAATAAACATGGGTGGTAAACCTTTCAGTAAATCGTCATCGGCAACCAATGGTGATATATATGGATTATTTACAATGGGAATATTACGGTATTTCCTAATAGGTGAACTGGCATATGGTGGTCCTACTGTGATATTCTGGTACAACTGTGTCGGAGAGTTGAAATACAATGGTGCTGGCTTCTTCCCTTTTTCTTTCTCATCGTTTTCATTGTTGCTATTGACAACCTGTACTGGAGAATCATCAGATAAAGGAATCTCCTCCATTTCTGATCCATCTTTTTCATCAACCTTCAGATCTGATACTGATACACTAGTCGGCGTTTTCGTATCCACATTATTTTCAATACCACTACTATCAGTAGACAGTGGACCAGCAACTGCCTCATCATTAGTCAAACTCTGGGCACCTTCTGGAGCATCTCTTGGGGTTGAAGGCTCTGATTTTGGTGAATTGACATAATCAGGCATAGACATGGGAACCATTTCTTCCTTCATCCCTGCATATGACGCTAGGCAACAAGACAAGACACCAAGAGGAAGCAATGGGTCCATCAAAGAGAGGATACGAGATGGTGAAGGAGAGTAACGAACTTGGAATGGTGCATAGAATGTGACAATGCCATCAGGAATACGAATACCATAATTGGCTGCTCTCATTGCTACGGCAACAGCTAAATTCCCACCAGCACTATCACCGACTAAACAGATATGCTTCCCAGAAGAACCTAGAATGAATAGAAGATATCAAATAAATTAAACATTGATAGAAACTAATAAAGACAGACATTATTTTATGTTTCGCCAATTAGGTAATTTGCATATTGCACGAGCCACATAGATACACAAGGTGTTATTGAAAACTGCTTTAATTTTTATGGCTTGGCAGGGAATAATCAGACACCAATTGGTGAACATTTCACAAGACAGTGTTAAGTGTTTCCATGGTGATGATAAAGGTACAGCATCAAGCATGAACTCTTACCCAGTGCAGGAGCATTTCTAACAATCCAGGCGTATGCAAAGAAACATTCTTCAAATGCTCTTGGAAACGGTTGCTCAGGAGCATGGCTGTAGTCCAGAGACACGATAGGAATGTCAAGTTCTTTGGCCCAACTTCTTAAATAAACCTATAATAAGGAAACAATGTTAATGGTATCTCATGTAATATTATGAGGTTATTATGTGGATACCTCAAAATATGCACAAAGACAGTACAGCTGGAGTATCGACCGACACACAGCGGAGGTTGATGCGCGGCATACTGTCTGAGTGCATAATTCTCGTAATAACCTTATTATTATACATCTTTTCCTTCCAAGGATACATCATGGGAATGCCGAAATCCAAAATGTTTAGAACAGAATCATCGAACTTCTGTGTGGACTCTGGTCAAACTCTGGTGGCAGCCATGTTATTTGTATTATTAGAGGACAATTACATACGTAATCATTCCATATTTGGTATTCGCATTTCCTAATATGGTGGGATGAAAATATCCCCTAAAATACCACAAAATTACGGCATGGTGACAGACATATAATAAACAGTTATATTGAAAATATCTCCAAAGATGTTAATGCAATCCTATACCGCCTGAGTGCATACTTTGCAGTATTCTCATGATAACCTACTTCTTTTTCTAATAATAATTTAATGAGATACAGCACCATCACATACTACACTGCTGCTGCTAGTGTAAACAAATGATTTCTAGAATGCAAAATGTTTTGATAGTTTGAAAGCCACTGCTGAATTGCTGTATACTGAGAATTGTAACAAAATCTTTTCAAATTATATAGATGGATATCATACACTGATGTAATCAATATAAATAAAATTGAATTTAAGTGAGTTCGGTTCTTTTATTTTATACCGCCATTGATGTAATATACAGCCATCAAATCTGTTAGTATAAGGAATAAATCAGAACTTGTGTAACAGATCTTTTTCTGCAGCAACATAAGAAACGACGTCAAAAGATCGATGTCGGATAAAAAACTTAATTCCTTTAGTTTTTTTCCAAACCCCCCTACCTGCCACTGAAACTTAATTGATAAATATTGGTCATGGCGTCAGACTACATTCATCATTAAATACAAATTGATAATTTGACAGTAGTATTGCATAGCAGTTGGTTGTCGGGTGGGTGTAAAAAGATTTTACAAATGCACCTCATTTGACGCACAGATTTACACTCGAACCAAACCATTTTTCTGTTTTTTTCCCTTTTCGGTTATTTCTGTCCATGATTCGATAGAAAAAAAACAAACTACAAATACTCCAAGATTTTTTTGACTTTTTGAGGTCAACCCCCACCCCCAAACTAAAGGAAATAAATAAGGAAATAATCTTTTGACGTCGTCCCTAAGTTTCATTACAATAGGACGTGCACTGATTACTGTAAAAGTGTTAATTATTCACTGGGTTTTAATTTTGCTTATTTCGCTGACTGGAAAATGCGCTAAATTAAAACCCAGTGAATATGTAAAATTTAGCATAGAACACATTATCTAAATGATAAAACTGTGAATTTAAAACCCACTGAATATGCCTGAAATGGTAAATCAGCAAAATTTAAACCCAGTGAATATGTAAAATCGTGAATCACAACCCAATGAATATGCCTGAAGGGGTAAATCAGCGAAATTTAAACCCAGTGAATATGTAAAATTTAGCATAGAACACATTATCTAAATGATAAAACTGTGAATTTAAAACCCACTGAATATGCCTGAAATGGTAAATCAGCGAAATTTAAACCCAGTGAATATGTAAAATTTTGCATAGAACACATTATCTAAATGATAAAACCGTAAATTTGAAACCCACTAAATATGCCTGAATTGGTAAATCAGCAAAATTTAAACCCAGTGAAAATTAGTAATTTTACAGTAGTTGGTAAATCCTGCATGAAGCGAGCTGATAGGTCAGATGTAGTTAGAGCCGATGACACTGAAGGTCGTATAGCAACTGGAAATTTTACCTCAATCAGATTGCAATATTTTAATATAGCATTGTATAAATCTTACCTCATGTGATTTTGATGACTGTGCCACAAAGCCACCACCATGGATATGAATGAGTAAGGATCTTGATAGTGCAGCGACCTTCTTATTAGGTGGCGGGGGTGCTGGCTCCTCATTGGGAGGATGGATTGTGTCTGCCATTAACTGAAATAAATGAGGTACAAAACTGATTCGAAAAATAATGGTATAATATAAAGGTAACTGCATTAAAAAGTTTAATATAAAAGACAAATTTTATTAGATGATTTTGACGTTCATCAAGACACAATTTTACAGCAACAAAATTTCGTTGTCTCACAAAATTCTCTAAACCTTCATGTGACCTCAAACTCAGGATTTATCACCAAAAAAAAATAGAAATTTAAGTGAATCAATTTGAAGTTCAATGATGCACACTAGTGTTTCACATTGCGTAGTAACATTCCACATTTGGTTTATCAAATATAGGGATGAGTATGATAGTTGCCCCCCCCCCCATGTATGTGCTCTCTGAGGTCTATGGTTCGTCTGAAGTTGTTTTTCATTTCATATACGGTGAGTTTCTTATACACAAGCTTCAATTCATTTCATACAGTGTTCATTTCATGCAGGGATTTATTTACACAGGATTTAGTTAAGATAGCGTTCAGTTTAACCTTTTCACCACCAGTTCCCTTTTTTCATCACAAATTCACAAAATAGTCCCATTTATAGTCTGCACTTTCCTTCAGAAAATAGTCAATTTTTTTTAGTCAAAACTGAAAATTTATTCATTTCCAAAAATATGAGAAAATATGAGAAAAAAAGTGCAGAAAAATTTGGGCAAGAAAGTCTGGTGGTGAGTACAAGTTACACAGGATTCAGTTCACACACAGTGTTCAGTTTAACCAGGGATAAGTTCACAGTTCAGGTTAGACAGGTCAGTTTAGACAGAATTCAGTACAAGCAGGGTTCTGTATAAAAGGGGTTCATTTAGGGTAGTGTTCAGGTAAGACAGAATTCAGTTAGGACAGGGTTCAGTTAAGACAGGATTCAGTTAAGACAGGATTCAGTTTAGACAGGGTTCAGTTTAGACAGGTTTCAGTTTAGACAGGTTTCAGTTTATACAGGGTTCAGTTTAGAGAGGGTTCAGTTTAGAGAGGGTTCAGTTTAGAGAGGGTTCAGTTTAGAGAGGGTTCAGTTTAGACAAGGTTCAGTTTAGACAGGGTTAGGTTTACACAGAGTTCAGTTTAGACATGGTTCAGTTTAGACATGTTTCAGTTTAGAAAGGGTTCAGTTTAGACGGGGTTCAGTTTAGAAAGGGATCAGTTTAGAAAGGGATCAGTTTAGACGGGGTTCAGTTTAGACAGAGTTAAGTTAAGACAAGGTTCAGTTTAGACAGGGTTAGGTTTACACAGAGTTCAGTTAAGACAAGGTTCAGTTTAGACTTGGTTCAGTTTAGACAGGGTTCAGTTTAGACAGGGTTCAGTTTAGACAGGGTTCAGTTTAGACAGGGTTCAGTTTAGACTGGGTTCAGTTTAGACTGGGTTCAGTTTAGAAAGGGTTCAGTTTAGACTGGGTTCAGTTTAGACAGGGTTCAGTTTAGACTGGGTTCAGTTTAGACTGGGTTCAGTTTAGACTGGTTTCAGTTTAGAACGGGTTCAGTTGAGACAGGGTTCAGTTCAAGAAGAGTTCTGTTTACAAGGAGTTCGGTTAAGATATAGTGTTCAGTTTAGGCAAGGATTAGTTTACCGTGTTCAGTTTAGGCAGGGATTAGTTTACAGTGTTCAGTTTAGACTGGGTTCAGTTTAGATAGAGTTCAGATTAGACAGAGTTCAGTTTAGACAGGGTTCAGTTTTAGACAGCTCAGTTTAGACTGGGTTCAGTTTAGACAGGGTTCAGTTTAGACTGGGTTCAGATTAGACAGAGTTCAGTTTAGACAGGGTTCAGTTTAGAAAGGGTTCAGTTTAGACAAGAGTTCAGTTTAGACAGGGTTCAGTTTAGACTGGGTTCAGTTTAGAAAGGGTTCAGTTGAGACAGGGTTCAGTTCAAGAAGAGTTCTGTTTACAAGGGGTTCGGTTAAGATATAGTGTTCAGTTTAGGCAGGGATTAGTTTAGGGAACTGATCATTACCACCCAGCCGGTTTCCTGTGAGTTTGACTCGGTTTACCGTACCGGTCGTTGCTTTACCGTACCGGTCGTTGCTTTACCGTACCGGTCGTTGCTTTACCGTACCGGTCGTTGCTTTACCGTACCGACCGTTGCGTTACCGTACCGGCCGGACAATTACCGTACTGATAGGACCAATACCGACTATTTATCAC